GAAGTTTTCTAATATGAAAAAGCATCTTTCCCACTACAATGAGTTTTTGGTGAAATGAGATGAGATAAACAGTCTATATATTTATTGTGCAAAATATGAGCAATTTTACTTATCTACCGTGTTTCAGTGTTGTAGAAAATCATTGGCTAATCTCAGGTTTAGTCCCTAAATTCATGGCTAGGCTAGAAGGATACTAGCTCTCACTCCAGAGCTCCCACTTCCCTTCCCCTGAAGGCTAACTCTCACTTTAGTTCTTAAACACTAAGATCAAATTAGGGATTTTAGTCTATCACCCTAAAAATCTCAAATTCTATGCCCAACAATATATATTACCCAATTATTTGTACTTAATTCCATGAATGAAACATTCCTTCATGGAGTTAAATGTGATTCCCACTGTTTTGTAGAACTCATACTCCATTTCCCGGATCATATGTTTCACAACATATTTTAATAATTCAATTGGTCAGATCGAAAAGTCAGTCAAATAAGAAGGGAGTTGAAAAACCATCATAATTTATTTTATATTTTAACATTGACACTTCTAAATTATCTCATTTAAATTATCTCTTCATTTCACCATATCTCAGAGTAGGGAGAAAGATAAAGAAAACTACTCAGAATTCATGAGAAAGATACAATAAAACATAAATTTCATACATAAATAAAAGTTCATACAACAATAATAAATAAATAACACTTATCTGAAACTCTTTCTCAAAGCAAATCACTTGTAGCCTCTCTTAGGAAATGAAAGCAGAAGAAATCTCTCACTTCTCTTCCTCTCAAACACTCTTAGAGAAGAATTCACACTTAAGCTCACCACAAAAACTCAAAACTATAAGGAAAAGAAATTACTAAAGGGACTCTAAGTGGCTATAAGGAATGTGGAGTAGAATGTGGAATAGCGTGGAAGAGAGTGGAAAGCGGTTGAAGGGTGCAAAGGGGCGCAAAGGGGCGCAAAGGTGGTCTTTTCTGATCAATTTTGGCTCTACATAGAGTCTTACGTTAGTTTGCCGTCTTTTCTGATCAATTTTGGCTCTAAATAGAGTCTTACGTTAGTTTGCCAATATGTGCATCAAAAAACTCTTCAAAAAGCATCCAAATTTGTTGAATCTTCTATAAATAGGGCCTGCACCTATACTGGCACCGTCTGTGCCCATTCTGGCGGCGTCGATGTCAGAGGCCATTTAATTAGACCGCGCTCTCTGTCAAATGGCACCGTCAGCGCCCACTCTAGCGTCGTCGCTGCCTAGTCTGGCGTCGTCAGTGTTGAACATTTCTTCAAAAACTCTATTTTGACTCCAAATTCCATCAATTTTGCTTTATTTTTGCTCCAAGTCTGAAAAATCAACCTGTAATGAAACAAGATAAATCTGTAATAAAACAAGATAAATACATTCCTTTAAAGTGCAATATCACCAAAATGAGGATAAAATATAGATTTAAAAATGTATATATTTTTGTGTATCAAATTACCCCAAACATAATTGTTACTTGTCATCAAGTAACTCCTTTACTACATAAAAAATATGACTCATGACGAAGATATGACTCATGGCGAAGAATTTAACTTCAAGATTTCCATATTTTAGTCCACTAAATACAATAGTATAACTTAAGAAAAATGTAAAATGACTCCAGTTAATACTAAAGGTATAAGAATATCTAGTAGTCAAGTCCAAGAATTTTGATTCTCTATTCTTTTCAAGAAAAATTGCAAATGATTCCGATTAAAGCCAATTAGAATATCCAAATGAAAAAGAACTTCATAAAACTTACTAGTAAATATGCTAATAATGAAATATAAATTTAGAATATGTAGCCAAGTCTTCTTCTTTAACTTGATTCAAGTGAAGCCAATTTTTAATTAGGCATCTCCTCAAGCTTCTCGTCACATCTTTTTCTTTTCATTTTTTTCTTTTCTTTTCTTTTCAAGATCATTTTCAATCCTTTTTCTTTTTTTTTCTTTTTTTTTATGTGAGGATTATTATATCTTGATAACCTTTCATGATTTTGAACTTCACTATCTTATTTTTAAAGTTAAAAAACTTTTCACATTTCTTCAGATTATAAATTTATATTAGCTTTAAAGATTTTTCATAAAATTTTTTTATTTTCCTCTTACATGAATCTCTAAGATTTTTAATATTTCAAAAATAAAAATTTCTTTATTGCAATAGAAAAACATAGTCTTATTCTATCATACAAAATATCTTAATCTCAAAAATTAACCTTTATTATTGAAAATTTTCACTTGGGTTTACTATATATTTAGAAACACAAATATAGTTATCTAAAGTTACCCTCTAATACCGAAGGACATGTTAAATTTTAAAATATTTTGAAAATATAGCTAATTGAGGACAAATTAAATTAAGTTTCTTTTCTTTAAAAAGGAATTTTTCTTTCCCCCCAAACTTAATTTTTTAAAAAATTTAGTATGAAAAATTGAAAAAATTAAAGAATGAAAGAAAACATTTAATACATAAAGGAAAGAGTTACCTATTGAAGGTTCTGAAACTTAACTTTGAAATATTGTAAGTGCTAATATGAAAAGCTACAAGACTTAAAACATTAAATAACACATAATACATATAAGAATTTGTTGAGAAAGAGTTAACTACAAATACTTTCATCAAAGTACTAAAAACTAACAATAGTAGTAAAATGATTTCCAATGTAAAAACACTGTCAAAATCTATTGTTCACAATACAACATAATATTTAAAATAAAGTGTCACACTCTAAAAACAAACAACTACAACAATAAAGTACAACCAAACATAAACCAAACAAAAAACTAACTAAAACATCAGAAATCATCTTCTTCTTCTTCTTCTTCCACATTCAAATTCTGCTACTGATATGGGGTAAAAATATGGTGACTAGGAAACTGAACTGAGTGGCCACTCCTCATGTATCTAACCATCACATCATCATAAACAACATCATATTCAAACTTTAGTCTTGTCAAATCATCATTGTGTGCATTTCTGACCTCCATATTTTCCATTCTACTTTGCATTCTTAAGTTATCTCCCTGTTGGATCATCATCTGCTTCATAGGTTCCTAGAGAGTAGGGGTACTAGAAGTCATGGTACTTGAAGTAGAAGGAATATCCCTAGTCCTGATTCCAGATCTCCAACCAACATGAGATTCATAAGTCTTAATATTGGCAGGCTCAATAAGTTTTAGAGGTTCAATCTTCTCCTCATACATTCTAAAATCAACTCCTGCATGTTCACATACTGTGAAGATCAGGGCATGGTGTGCTAAACCACTAGTAGTCTCTCCCAAAGCAATCAAATGAGTATTTCTATAAACAATAGAGCCTAAATCTATCTTTCTCATCTGCTGGATACAGAAGTTCAAGATGGTTCTATCTTTTGTAACCTCACTATGGTGATTTGTTGTTATCATTCTACCAGAAATAAAGTAGTGTCAGGCCTTAGATACTACATTTAACATATAAAGAGGAAATTTTACCTTAACATCATTTTTCACCTTCCAAGCTCCTCTTCCATCAGTACAAAAAGTAATAACTTCATCTAAGGCCTCATTTGTATCAAAAAATGATTTGTAGTAGCAGCTATACGCATCCTCTAACTGATAAAATTCATAAATTTTCCTTGGAGTAAATTCCACCATTTACCCGCGAACAAACACGTAGTCTTCAAAAGTTTCCTTACACCTGCCTTTTTAAATGCTTGATCCGGAATTACTTTCTTTGTTGCAAGCAGACTACTGAAACAAATATTAGTCTTATAGTTGAAAAACTTTTAATCATCAAAATTTACTTTCCTCTTTCCCTTGCTCATTCTCAGTGTCATGGTAATCTAAGAAAATCAAAATGCTTACTATTTGGTTATTAATATTCAAAATGCTTACTATTTGGTTATTAATATTCAAAATGCTTACTATTTGGTTATTAATATTCAAAATGCTTACTATTTGGTTATTAATATTCAAAATGCTTACTATTTGGTTATTAATATTCAAAAAGCTTAGTATTTACTTCAGATTAATTTGATATAGTTAGAATTCTTCTAATAAAACTTAGAAGGTCTCATAGAGCTTAGAATTGAGAAGATTGGGGGGGGAGAAAAAGAAAAAGGAGAGAGACTCAAATTACATCATTGGCGGCACAATATACACAATAAGGTATCTTCTAAAATGACTCTTCGAACATTTGCTTATAAGATTTTTTAGAGCTATAGAAAATACAACTTAACCTCTAGTAAGTGAACATTTCTGGCTTGTGTTCGAGTGATTTCAATATACCGTGCTTACAAATCACATCATAACACCTAAAAACTGAGTTTGAATTAGTTAATTTTCGAAAACATACTGAAGTGCAAAAATATGCACACCCAGTTCACCCTTATGATGTGCCTTATGCCTTCAATATTAGACCCAATTGACAGTAAAATACTATAATATTAATACTTTTAACTTGCTAAAGATAGTAAGCATTGAATACTACTAAAAATTGCAATATATTTTTACTTTATAAAATCTAGACATATTGGTGCATGCTGAAGAAGTCAAATTTGCATGCCCAAAAAGCATCAACTTGGAGATGGAAAAATTCTGCTATTGTTACCATCTAGATAGCAGTCCTGTAGTGATTGCAAAGTAGTCGGGGAAATAAGATTTCATTTTGTGCACACATGTTAGAATTAATATAAGTTGCTTGATTTGTTTTTTTTTTAATGATAAAAAAAATAATCAAAATCAGTATATAAAATTTGACAAATGTCAAACGTCAAACGTTAGTGTTTCTATGATTCTTTACAACTAAACCACAAAGCTGTATTACCAGAACAAAATTTTTTTTTTGGCAAAAATTTACAGTGAACTCATCGAAAATCATACTGGCAACACCGATAAGAATATTCCCATGTGAGCCTCCCACGCACTTGATGATGAAATAATAACTCAATAATATAATTAAAAATAAATAAAAAATGATAAGCAAATGTTAAGTACAGCTGCATTAAAATATACATAACAAGAAAGTCTTTCATCAAAATTAGCTAATTCAATTATAGGTGGCTGCTGGGCCCAATTCCTAGCATCTGCAGTACATGGTATATGAAGTAAAAACAAAAGAAGATGTAGAAATGAGTATAAATACATTATGCACAGCTCCAGTACTAAAACAGGTTTAAAATTTGACCACCCAATGGCAAAGTTAAAAAGAGGTGGGGAAGAATCCTAGTGCAAATACTCATAAGAAATCTACCTTGAGTAGAAGAGAAGAAAAAACCTACCAAGTCAAACCCTCCTCATTATTGCCCGCTGTAGCTTTTGCCAGTGAAAAACAAGGCGTCGAACTGAACATTCAGGCAGAATTTCTTGCTTCTTAACAAATAACCACATTTTGCCAGTTCAATCTGCCTTGTGTCTCTGCAGGACCTCACAGAGGTTTTCTACAAAAGGAATCAATCAACCAAAGCAGATGATTCAGTTCCTTTGGGAAAAATATGCCTGAATCAATTCGATGTTTGTAAACATATATCAGAATCTCAAATTGAGAAACTTATTAATCTATTTCTCCGATGTGAAACCAAATATGTTAGCAAAGGGATACCCCATCAACCCAAACTTGAGTTGATAGGTACAATAAAAGCTCTTAATTCATTTTTTATGTAAGAGGCTTTTTTTTTTCACTATCTTGTGCATCTCAACACTCTCCCCTAAATAAAAATTATTCACATATCATAAATTCACGCTCAAACAGAAAATTTTCAGCATTAATAGCCCACACTCACCCACACGTAGCTAAAGTGAGTCGCCCGCTCCAGTAAGTCTGCTCAACCAATTAAAGCCACTCAGCCCCTAATTTCAGATATTGTGGGGCCAAAGTAATCCTTATATATTAGTGAATGACACACTAAATTAAAAGCTTAAGCATCACTTGTCTATATTAAGGGTCAACCCCTTTTTCACGTACGATGTTATGATGCAAGAGCATTCTTAATTCCCTGCATCTAAACAAGAGAATTTTAGTTTGCAATGATTTGAATGGACTGAAATAATCAGTACACTATTAACAATAATACTACAAATCGCTGCAATTATAGAAACAGAAAAAGATGGTGGACGCATACAGTGACAAACTAATTGGATAGGAGTTAGCTTTGATATCAAATTGATCGCGGAGCCTAAGATGAACATGAAACAATCAATATAAGCAACATAGGTTTAAGTATCATCACCAATCACAAAAAGTGAAGTTGTGAACAAATTCCATATTGGAAACACTCTTCATATATCTATATATTCAATATTCATTCTACTAGCCCAGCTCCCAGGTTATGGAGAAACTTACAAGCTACAAGAACCAGGTATCCATACTACTCAAGGAAATTACTAACCATCCACACATTGAAAAAAAAATTTTAACTCTGGACAACAATATCAATGTAGAACATGAAAAAACATAAAATAATACAAAGCTAAAAGATCTATTCAGGACAAAAGGCAAAATACAATAACAATAGGTGTTTGAAAAGAACAATATTATCAAACAATGATGTTATATTTTAGTTGGTTCACTTCAACTTAGCTCGCCAAAAAAACTATGAACGAAAACCACTGCTGATGATTGAATTTTACCAAACAATAAACATTGAAGTATTGAGGTCCACTCAATAGAAGAAATTGGTTTATCCAAACAAAGGAGGCTCCACACAAAAAGGCTCCAAACCAAAGGAAATAAATGCCCCTACAATGCTAGACCAAAGGAATAAATACCCCTTCCGTACAGCGCCATTGGATAACTATGCAAAATGGAACTCTAGCAGCACTTGTGCCATAAACAAAACTTGGCCTAAGCATGGCATCTCTAATATATAAAATGGGGAAATAAAACACCCTCAAGAAATTTTTTATGAAAATATTCACGAATTACCCGAACTGAACAGTAATTTCATTCACGATAGCCATGGTCACTAGAAAAAATGCTCATTATAAATGAAATCAAGAAGATAATTTTTTTAACTTAAACCTACTTTTAAACAAGTGTAATGATAAACATAAAAAAACGCCCCTTAAACCACAAAAAACATGATTTGTTAGTAATTACAAGGCCACAATATCATATAGGCCACTGCAGTCAAGTTTTGCTCAATTGTGAGTAAGAAAATTCAAGAAGGTATGTCAGCAGCGAAGAGTATAGATATGGATATGACATGAAATTTTTGGAAACAAGAAAATGAGAATCTTATTACAATATAAAGAAATTCATGAAAATAAATTTAAAAATACACTTACTTTTTTCATCTTTAAAGTATCACATTAAAATAGCGTAGTGTCTCGTATAAAATTTCTGGCAAGAAATCAAACTATCTATAAAAAGCATATAGATTAGTTATATGATTACGAAAATAATAATAAAATAAATAATTACAATAACTTATTTAAAGTTACGAGTATTGCTAGCGTATATTACTAATGAATTAGGAATTTAAAACTGAACATAGTATATTAAATAAGGTTTTAATTTTATAAAGAGATTAAAATAGGTGTCAAATTTGAAGGATTAATAATTTAAGTAGAACAATGTATTAAATTTAAAATAAAAATTATTACAATCATTAATTTAATCAAGTAAAATTTAAGTAAACAAATAGATAGTAATTAGGATTTGTGTTTTGCTTAGTATATATTGATTTGGGCATAAAAGTACCAATTACGCATAAGATTATTTTTAGGAATATTTTTTAAAGGTATCCACTAAAAAAGATGAAGTCAGGATAAAATATTGGATTTCAAGCCAACAGAAAGAGATAAGTGCTCGTACTTTTAAAGTTTAATAGTGTTTGTCCTCATCTAAACCTGATAGATCCTGTGGTTTGTTCAGATAGATTTTATATTACAAGATTAGAAAAATGATTTATTTGCACTTTAAGCTCAATTGATGAGATTGCATTCCATGTTACCGATTTTTTTATATATCCATCTATAACATAATTCAATGTACTATATTATATATTGAATGCTATAAAAATAAGAATCAGATTGGTTACATAGATTGTTTGCAAGTGTATGATGACTATGATGGAGCTAATCCCCTTATGATACTTGATGTTTTGTAGCAGATCTTTTACTTATTTTTGGATAACTAAATATTCTATAGAAAATAAAAATAGAGAAATTTAATTTTCACTGTCTTACCGTCTGTTCTCGCCTTGAAAATTCTAAACCCCCAAGTCGAGTCGTGATATCAAACTTGTCTACTAATCATGATACCCAACTCACTCTTACAACAAGGCCATTTTCAGCGGTTTAGATCAGTTAGATATCTGTAAATCTTTAAATGGCAAATTTTGGAGGGGGCAGTTCTTTCTATTAATAGCAACATAGAGAAGCAATATGCAAAACATTTGTAGAAAAGATCTGTACCATAGCTTTCATATGTGACCCTCTCCAGGTAAAAACACTTTGCATGCACAGCCGCAATATCTACATAGATTCAATCAAACTAATTCGATCTAGATGATTGAAGCTAATCTTTTTAAATAGTTAGGATGAGGCTAACAAGCAACAAGATTTATATGGTTCAACTCAAAAACAGCTTATACCACATCGACTCTAATGATTGTTGTGAAGGCAAAAACAAAAGGTAGAGAAAAAAAATGCAATTGTCAAAGACTACTTGCAACAAAAGACAGAACACTCATGTATTTCTCAATTATTATAATACCAAGTTGCTAGGTGCTTAACTGATGAGCTTCTTCAACTGCTATATAGTTGCTTGGTCGTGGATTATGTTTCAAAATGGATTGAAGTTGTTGTTTCACCTCATTGTGATGCTCAAAGTGTAGTTAAAGTTTTTTAAAAAAATATTTTTACTAGATTTTGATTTGCCAAGAGTAATCATTATAGATGGGGGAAGTCATTTTAGGAACCTTATGATTAAAATATTAATGAGGAAATACAAAATTTATTATTGAATTGTCACAACTTATCATCCTCAAACAAGTGATTTAGCAGAGTATCGTATCAAATCGTGAAATTAAATACATATTGGAAAAGACTATGAATCCGGATATGAAGGATTGGTCTGCTAGACTTGATTTACATTATGGTTCTATAGAGCTGCTTACAAAACTCTTATAGGAATGACACCATATAGACTCATATTTCGAAAAACTTGTCACTTACCAGTTGAATTTGAACATAAGGCTTATTGGGCGAAAAATGAATTTAATTATAACATGAAAGAAGCTGGTGAAAAACGATTATTGCAGTTAAATGAGCTTGAGTAAATTAGAAATTAATATTATGAGAATGATAGAATTTATAAGAAAAAGATAAAAAAATGACATGACCAAAAGAATTTAAGAAAAGATTTCGAGCATAGACAAGAGGTTTTGTTATACATTACTCGATTAAAATTATTTCCCTGAAAACTTAAGTCCAAGTGGTCAGAGTCATTTATTGTTATAAAAGCTTATTCTTTTGGTGTTATAGATATTAAAGATATGAAAACTCAACGAATAATTAAAGTAAACGGACATCGACTAAAACCTTATATTTGTGGAAACAAACCTTTGCATGAATAAAACCTGATGTTGGATCAGCCCGAGTAAAACATAGATACATCAGACTGACGGCATTAAACCAAGTGTTTTGTGGGAGGCAACCTATAGTTATTTTTGTGAATTGATTTATGATTTTTGTTGTTGTGGACTATATGATATAGTATTGAGACCTAATAGATGTGAGGAGGCACAAATACACTAATTTGATGATTGAAACAAGATTTGGACGAGAAAAATTCGACGCGATGCGAAACAATGTTTACCTAAGCACTAGCCCTGAGGCGCCTACGCGTAAGCCTGGTACCTAAGCGCCAGAATCTGGCGCTTAGGCGCCACAATTATATTACATGGGTAAAACCCGAATTTTTCTATTAAAACCCCCAAATCTCGTCCCTTGAAGTTAAAAATTCAAACTTTGGCCTGAGAGAAGAACTGGAGAGGAGTTGAGTGCTTAGTTGATATTTCTTGCCCAAATGGAGTAGAAGCAACGGTGGTGCAAGTGAGAAGAAGACTGTGCCCGGGGATGCCCAACCTTACTTCAATGGCTTCCTAGCATTGAGTTTGGAGCGGATCACCGACAAACTGATGAAGATTAAAGAAGAGCTGGGAATTCTGCACAACAAGCTAAGTGACATGTACCACCAATACGACCATTTGAAGTGACAGATGAGACTCTAATTCAACCATTTAGCTTGTTATCAAGATTATCAGGTTAGTATGTATCACGATAACAAGTGGATTAGTGAAAAAGTTGTTGAAGATTATCCTCGTGCTCCTTTCTACCACCTGTACGATTGCAACTTCCTATTAATCGAAAAGGTGGGGGATAATTGTGCCAACAACTACTAATACTTGGAAGGGCTTCTGAGGATTTTATGTGTTAGATATGTGTGTGATTGCAATTAGTGTGTCTACTCTAGTCAAGGGTGTGTTCGGTATTACGAGAAGTTTAGTATTTATATTAGTATTGGTTTGATCTATTGTATTGCTTTGATATATCTGTTGTATTAAAACTTGTTTGTTAGTAATGAAAATGTGTTATGTTGGTGAAAATTGTGGTGTGTTTGAATGTTGGAATTAATGGAGTTTTGAAGCTATAATGGAGTAAATAGAATTTGGAAGATGCTGGGAGGATAGTCAATTAATAGAATGTGGCTAAATTAATGTTAAATTTTGATTTGGAGGCCTTAGGCTTGTTGTGTCATACATAAAAATAAATTATCAAAAATTCGGGTCTGGCGCCTACGCGGCAGAATTGGCGCCTACGCACCAGCCGTTTGCACAGCAGAGCGCCTACGCGCTGTAGGCGCCAGAATCAGCGCTTAGGCGCCAGTCCGGCTGAACGGTTCAATAAGGATGAAAATCGAGATTTAAGCCGACCCACCACCATTTTTTACCTTTTTTTTCTTCCTCTAGTTTTCGACAGTGACACTGAAGGCTTA